AGCACTCTACCCAGGGGGATAGCTTGAGGCTCCGTCAAAAAAAAAAAAAAAAAAAAATACATGGATACATGGCACACTCCCCAGGTGTGGACACAGCTCAACTCTGACTTCAACCTGTCATGTGTAAATTATATACCCTAATGGCTTGTAGCCTCATATTAATCTGAAATTTAAAATAAGAAGAAGAAAAAGGAGACAGAATGAGAGGGGAAACTACTAAGAGAAAATTAACTGTGGAGTGGATTCATTTCACTAAGCAGATATGCTCCGTGCTAGTCAGACCCACCGGGAAGGATGCCTCCCCTTTTGCCTTTTCCCTGTCAAACTCTCAAACCCTGTGGTTCTGCTGTTTGAGTCAGCACCTTGTATTTCACTCAAGAATGCCTGCCAAGCAGGGCTCATGGCCTATTCCTGCTCTCAGCTCCCCCCCTTACTCACTTGTAGAGGCTTCTGCCTCCAATGGTGGTCAGGTTGGAAAAAACACTGAAGTTGTGCATGTGAGGAGGCCAGGACTGGATGTTCAGGTAACCTGAGGAGTGGAGAGAGGCCTGTGAACAGGGAGTCTTCTCCCTTCCTCTTTCTCATGTTCTCCTGGCTCCTCCCCTGCAACTTGTTTTGATTTCTCCCCTGTAGCTTCAGACATAATTTTCTCAAGTAGTTAGTTAAACCACAGTTCATGCAAGTGGGTCACCTATTCCTGTCAGAAGGGGCAGACTCTCGACCCACTCACCTGTGATCTCCCGGACTGTCTGGAAAACATTGAGCTTCTCAGGATCCAGGGCAGGGATCTTGTGCCAGGGATCTCTGAGGAGAACAATAAAAGCACTCAACAATGGCTCGGCGCCTGTAGGTCAGTGAGTAGGGCTCCTGCCACATACACAAAAGCTGGTGAGTTCAAACCTGGCCTGGCCTGCCAAACAATGATAACTACAGCAACAAATAGCCAGGTGTTGTGACGAGTGCCTGTAGTCCCAGCTACTTGGGAGGCTGAGGCAAGAGAATCACTTAAGCCCAAGAGTTTGAGGTTGCTGTGAGCTGTG